GCGTTTCTCACTTTCTATGGATGGATGTGTGTGAGTGAATGAGTGAGACAGTGTATTCATTCTCCTTTAAGGCAGTATATTAGGACCTGTCGGTATTATTTGTGTAAGCATGTCGGTGGTTTGATGGTATAGTGCTCGCCAGTAACACGAAAGGTCAAGGTTCTGCTCCTGGTTAACTCAAGCCTAACCTCCTATCCCACTAGTCAGTAGTATTGGCCGAAAAGAGGGAATGTTTGGAGTAAGATCAACAACTTCAACCGGTGGAAACAACACTACCGCTACTGGTTAAAAGGCTTAAAGCCCTATATTCCACTTGGAACGCAAGGAACCATATTATATCCTAATATATGATTTATACAAAAGTTAATAGAAAACATTACTACTTTTATAAACTATCATTTTTTGGTTACAGGATTTCATCATGAGCTGCTATTAGTTACAGAACCAGTGGAAAACCTACAGGAAGTACTGGATAGCTGTTTCATCAGCCTAGCTTGGAGCTCTTCATCAGTACACACCCACCGGGGTTCAAACCCAGGACCTTCTGGCTACAAGGCCAGCGAGCTCGAAGACCATTAAGTCTCTGGAACTCGATCCAATGGCCCATGAATTCTAACTTCTGCCAAGTAACGATATAGCGCAACCACTAGCCAATGTCTTCGGTGAGTATTTTTCCCTACACCCGATGTCAGCTCATGATCAAATCCTGTGACCAATCAACCAAATCAAATCCCTACAAACCAACACTCGAATATCAATTTTTATTAACTGAAATGCCAGTAGAACTCTTATTCACTCCAAGATATACTGACTTTTCATTCCCTTGATAAATTCTTCAAAGAACACTGATTGTATTGATCTTGGAAGATTCAATTATTTAGACAATGAAAACTGCTTTCGGCTCAAAAACAGAATCCCATAGCTTTCTGTATTCATTCTATTGGCTAGTTGGATGTTAAAATAAGCATAAATATCTTTTTAAAGGATATCATCACCTAACCTTATGTCTAGACAATTTGGAAATTATTCATCGATGCAAACTTTAATACAAATGGAGTTAGCTGTTTAGTGAAAAATAATAGATGAATTAAAATGAATTCTAGAAGTTAATTTGCAATTAACACAGTTCGGCAAGGTGAACTTTCACCACAGTTTCTTTTGGAAACCAAAATCATTCAGATCACTACTGGCATACGCCTACTCAATTCACTCAATCAGTAGTATACGGTTTTATGTATTTGTACTTGCTTTCATGATTACCGTTTATGGTATCAAGCAGATCCTATATGGTGGTGGTCTGAATAATTTCAGTTCCCGAAAGAAACTATGCTGAAACCAAGGTGTATATTGCAAGTGATTTTGGAAATTGACAGTTTGATTTATGGAATTACCAGTTCCCCCAAGCAGCTAGTCAGGAATCGAGTGGTTTGAAATGACTCAGTTTAGGGAGCAGAGCTTGACCTAAAACAAGTTCAGGGGCCCCCGGTGTTTCGATCGTTTTGAACAGGCTAGCAAGCCTTACTGCCTGATGTGAGTGATGTACAACTCCTCATCTCAATCAATCAGTGGTAAACAGTTTTATGCAAATAAACTTCTAGAAGTATTTTTCCTCTCTTTTAAAAGTGGAGGAAACATTTCCGGAGCTGAAAGCAACTCTTCCAGGTTCTATCTAAACTAACTGGAGATAAGTGGATTACTGGAAAGCCCACCCACAAGCTTTCAGAGACATTTCTTGAGAGGAAGTTTTATTATTCTGTTAAAACATTCATAATATCATGGATAGTTATTGTGTCATACGATTGTTAATGATGTACCATAAAGATTCTACTCGTCTTGTTCTTATCAATGCTTTGGTGAGAATTATTCTACATTTTACTGTGTATACACACAATATTCATTTGTTTAAGTATTATAAATCAGTCTTCTCAGTTCATTTGTTAAATGATCTACAATGTTCGTAAGAAAATTTTCGACACCTTTAGTGAATCAAGTTTATCACAACCATAGTAATCACAGTATGATTATTAAATTGCCTTGTATGGGACTGGTTATTTACGACAACTGGATGGTAATTAAGTCATTCACTGCTAAACACCAACTAGATGACACTACCAAAAATTCATAAAAAGATCAATGGCCTCTGAAACCTAAAGAAAGCTCAAGAAAAAGGAGATGCACCTCCTATTAACAAGAAAGAGATTTTACCAGAAACCGATTAAAAATTAGTTGAATGCATAAAAATTGCTGATAACCTTGATGATGACCTTTCTCTGATATCAATCGATATCGTTGTTATTATCATTAGGAATACTGATATTTATCAATCACCTACCCTACACCAACGCGTTAAAGATATCCATTCATGTGTTCATTTCACTCCCTCAAATATTTAGTATAAGATTTAACCAGTCCCCACGTAGAGTTTCTAAACTTTTTATTATTTTTTATTTTTTATTTTAATTACAGCTTGATGCCACACCATATTTTCAGTACAAATATGGAATTTTCAGCATGGATATCGGTAGCCCAAATTTTGCAGGCCGACCATAGATATGGGGTGTGCGTCGGCATGGGATCGAACCTCGGACCATGTGCATGGTCGGCGAGAGTCCTAACCACTGTGCCACCGACGCAAAGTTGCTTCACTACTCTGTTCGTGTGGGAATTTATTTTAATAGGAATATTTTTTGTAAATACGTTGTTTGTAATTCCGATGCTATTCGCTTTCATAAGTTAACGATAGCCAATAAATCAGTAGTAAAATCATCCAGCAAAGAATTTTCTTTACAAGTTTCATCATGAATCAGTTTCAACAGCAGAACCACTGAAAACTAGGGAGTACTAGATAGCTGTTTCGTCGGAGTTTAGGACGGGTATCGAAGTCAGGACCTTCTAGTTACACAGAGAGTTATTGAATCATGAAGTCAGTGTGACACAATCCAATAGCCAGAGATGGGTGTGAGGACATATACTACCCAATGATACTGTATTCCACCTCAGTAGATGGATGCTCAGCCGGCTAGTAACTTTAACGACTTGAGCTGGATCTTCGATGAAGTTACACGTGGGTACTGCTGGAGAATTCAAAGCTAGGAAGAAACAATTATTCGGCACTCCATGGTTTTCAGTGGTTCTCTAACTGAAGTCAGTTCTTTATCCAACTTGAAATCAGTCGAGTCTCCACAAACCAACACTTAAAAATTATTCTCTTGGACAACTTCTTCATCACCTTCTACACTTATATATACACATAGCATTTAAAGGATAATTGTTATTAACAATATTTAATAATAATAATTTGCTTTATTCCAGAAACAGTACTAGTGGTACAGTGTGGAATTTTCAGCGCATATCTACAATATTTGCATCTAATTTTACCAAACATTTAAAAGGAGTATTTCAAAAAAATAAAATAAAAAGACCAAAGGTAGAAAAAACAGGAAAAACACAAAATAATTTTTAAAAAATGCGAAAAAATACCAAGAAGTAGGAAGGAAAATAAACAGCATATAATAATAACTCAGTATTGGGTAGTGGGAGCTATGATATGATTATGCATGGTGACAGTAAAGCTATTGATGCTTATTAAGTAATATCATTTTTTTTTCAAAAGCACGCGTTACTGATAATATGCACAAATTTAATCCCCATCCAGGCATTAAAGATCAGCGAAGAGTCTCTTTTCGGCGAATTCATTTTCTTAGCTGTACAATCGCAAATATATATGTGTTATTTTGTATGTATCTGTACATTAAGTTTGTCAAACAAAATGCAATTGGTTATGATTATTTTAACTGAACAGGTGAAGATTGGTAATTGGAGTTACGTAATACAAAATCAGTCAAGAAAGTTCATATAACTTGGATTTCAAGGGAGATTTAGCAAGCAACATTCTCAACAGAAGGATCACATAATCTCTGAGAAGAACATTCTTTGCAGCAACGCTAAGAATAGTATTCTCTAGTCGCCCACTGATCTGCAGGACAAGATCCCTCATCTGACCACTTCTATGTGCATATATCAGTTCACCTGCTGCTGTGGAGCCAGTCAGGTACATCGGTCGTACATTGAAAAACCGGAGCTGTGCATACAAAAGAGGATTACTCAACCACTTCTACTGTCTTGGTAACAACTTTTTTGATTTGATTTTTTGATTTTGATGACTTAATTTTGTTTCTTTGTCTGTTCTTTAATTGCTTATGATTCTTGTATTCATTTAGAAATCTTACGTAATTTCGTATTAACTACTTTGTTCCTATGTGCATCCTGAGTAAAACTCACTCATCAAACTATTCATATTAATACATAACTTCTTTTAATAACTTTGTGACAACTCATCACTTTTGTCACTACCCTAATTTCATTAACACCTAATTTTCTTGACTGATTTTGTATTACGTAACCTTAATTACCAATCTTCACCTGTTTAGTTAAAATAACCATAACCAATTGTATTTTTGTTTGACAGACTTAATGTACAGATACATACAAAATAACACATATATATTTGCGATTGTACAGCTACAGAGAAAATGAATTCGCCGAAAAGAGACTCTTGGCTGATCGACGTGTTTTGTTTTCATTAAACTGAATATGTGATAAAATTTAAAAAAGGATAAACTCGAAACACAAAACTAAGATTGAACATCAGTTGAAATACAGCAGATAATTGTAAATGCCTTACAACATTAACTTTAGGTTCAGTATCCATATGATGAGCTAAAACAAAACAACAAACCGGCGTAATTTGTCCCTCACTTAACCATTCAGGGTGATATTTAGAACTCCAGTCATGAACAGGTGTGATTGCATTTTGTGTGTATACCTGTGGAACCTGACTAGACAGTTATTGAAGAGAATATTCCTTACTCAATCTTTCTGTCTTTTAAACGTCTAAATGCGGACTTCAATGCTATTCAATATTCAAGAAATTAACCCGTTTAAACACCACATGGATATACATTTCAAGTAAATTTTCTTTTAAATCTTATATAACTTACCATTGTCATCTATCACATGATTACGATCTTCGTGGACAAAATTCTCCAGTCCATCTTCATCCTTCATCATCCATTGAACTTTTGCATTTGGTATACTTTTAGATGTTGAACAGTTTAACACTGTTGTTTTATTCGGTTCAATGTGAATGGTTTTCGACTGAAGACTGTCAAACATACCAAGACCTATAATATAAGAAAGCACCACAATAAATTGAAATAATTTATTCCAAGAATGTTTAAATTCAAAGCGCTTCATTTAAAGGAAAAGCTACTTGAAGATGACTTATTAGTGTATTGCGAAATAGTACCGTTTTGACAGATAACTAAATACATGAATAATGAAGTGGTATCTAGTTGAATATAGAGCGTTTCCTACTTAACTACTCTATACGGACTTCATTTTTCAGATACTCGTAAAGCTGAACTGCTATTTGTATGATAAATGAAGAAAAGAAAAAACACAGTTCAACGAAAAAAGTCTTCTTTATCGACGAAGTCATCTTCAGAGTCTGTACAATCATATTTATACTTGCTAAAAGCGTATAGCAACCTCGCCTTGATTACTAGGTCACTTGTATTCTAGCCGGTCCCAAGCCCGGATAAAGAGGGAGGGTTGGGGCGTGGTGCTAGCAACTCCACCCACAAAACTTAACCAAATTGCTACTAAAACTTCAACGCACAAATATATTCAAAATTCTAAAAATACAAACAATAAACTTACTTTTCGCTGGAATCGGGGAAGCAAAATGAGGCAGGCTGGTGAAAGCCTTCGGGAAGCCAGTCAGCCGATGTGCTTTCTTTCGATGAAAGCAAAAATAAGGATGGGGACGTGGAATATTCGTACAATGTACGAAACTGGAAAGGCTGCTCAGGTAGCCGCAGAAATGGGGAGATATAAAATAGAAGTTTTGGGAATCTGCGAGAGCAGATGGAACGGATGCGGAAGGTGCCAACTACCAGCTGGAGAGACAATAATCTACTCCGGTCACCCAGAGGACGATCACGAGCACACCGAGGGAGTAGCCATCATGATGTCACCAACAGCGGCTAAAGCTCTCATGCAGTGGGAACCAATCTCCTCCAGGATAATGACAGCCAGGTTCAACTCAAAAGGAAAAAAGGTTACAATCATTCAGTGCTACGCACCTACAAACGTCTCAGAACAAGAGAAGAAGGAGGATTTCTACAGTCAACTACAAACAGTGATGGACAACGTCCCAAAGAGCGATATCAAAATCCTGATGGGTGATATGAATGCGAAACTGGGAGGAGACAATACAGGAAGAGAACTCACCATGGGTCGCGAGGCCCTCGGTAAAATGAACGAAAATGGTGAACTCTTCTCAGACTTCTGCGCCTTCAATGATTTGGTGATTGGTGGCAGTGTGTTCAAACACAGGGATATACACAAGGTGACATGGATTTTACCAGATGGACACACCAAAAACCAGATAGACTTCATTTCAATCTCAAGGAAGTGGAGACGGAGCCTACTAGACACAAAATCGAGGAGAGAAGCAGACGTGGGTTCAGACCACTATCTAGTACAAGGGACTTTCAAGGTGAAGCTGAAAGCCTCAAGGATACCTGGGGATAGGCCACAATGCAAATTCAACACGCAAAAACTGAAGGACACAATCACACAGGACATTTTCACTGCAAGTGTCAGAGCAAAGCAGGAAACACTACGAGGTATCACTGAGGAATCATCCGTGGAAGACCATTGGAACTCTCTGAAGGTAATTTTCAACGAAACGTGTTCAACGGTTTTAGGAAGAAGGAAGAAACAAGACAAAGAATGGCTCTCGACGGACACTTGGAAGCTAATAGAGGAGAGGAGAATGGTGAAAGAGAGAATGATTCAATGCAAAGACGGACGAGAGAAAGAGACGCTGAACTCAACTTACACAGCACTGGACAAAGAAGTGAAGAAGAGTGCCAGGAAGGACAAAAGACAATTCTACGACAACCTGGCTACTGAAGCTGAGAAGGCAGCAGGCAAAAGGGACCTGAGGACACTATATCAGATAACCAAGTCTCTATCCGGGAAGAGATCAACACAAGTGAAACCTATTAAAGACAGCCAAGGGAACCCAATTACCAAAGAAGAAAGACAGATTAAACAATGGGCGGACCACTTCAAAGGACTCTTGAATCGACCACCACCTACAACCCGTCCAGTAATACCAACAACAGCACGTACACAACTGCAAGTTGACACCAATCCTCCAACGAAAGCTGAAGTCTTGAATGCAATCAAGCTTCTGAAAGCTGGAAAAGCAGCTGGACCAGATGGAATACCCCCGGAAGCACTGAAAGCGGACCCAGAAACGACGGCAGATATGCTGACTTCATTATTGCAAAAGATCTGGAAAGAGGGAAAGGTGCCTACTGACTGGAGGAAAGGTTACCTGGTGAAACTACCAAAGAAGGGCGACCTGGGACTCTGCAAGAACTGGCGAGGAATCATGCTCCTGTCGACGCCAAGTAAAATCCTGAGTCGCATCATCCTGGAGAGAATCAAGGACGCACTGGATACAGAACTCCGACTAGAACAAGCTGGATTCAGGAAAGGCAAATCATGTTCTGACCAAATTCCAACTCTACGCATCATCATCGAACAAAGCATGGAATGGCAATCAAACCTCTACCTCAACTTCCTTCGTAGACTTTGAGAAGGCCTTCGACAGCGTTGACCGCGAAGTAATTTGGAAACTACTCGAGTACTACGGCGTAACCCAAATATTCATCAATCTTATTCAACAGCTGTACGACAACGGCACATGTCAAGTGATCCATAACGGAAAACTCAGCGAGGCGTTTGGAGTAAATGCAGGAGTAAGACAAGGGTGCTTATTATCACCAATGATATTCCTAATTGTGGTGGACTGGATTATGCGTCAGACAGTGGGAAACGAGAAGACAGGGATATCCTGGATTGACGTGAAGAACCTAGAAGACCTGGATTTTGCGGATGATTTATGTTTGATGTCACACAAAATCGAAGACTTACAAGCGAAAACCGACAAACTGGTCGAAGAAGCAGCCAGAGAAGACAGGACTCCAGGTGAACATAGACAAGGCCGAGGCTATGAAAATAACCAGCCAATCAACAACAACAACAATAGCAGCAACATCCAGCGCCAATCACCATCAACGGGAAAGATTTGAAAGAGGTTACTTCTTTCACTTATCTAGGGAGCATTGTCTCAACTACAGGCACACGGAACGGACGAGGATGTCAAATCGAGAATCGGGAAGGCGAGAAACACATTCATCAACCTGAAACCAATCTGGAAATCTTCGTCACTCAGCCTGCATCAACAACAAAGTGATTCGGATTTTCAATACAAACGTCAAGTCAGTCAGTTCTTCTATACGGATCAGAAACTTGGCGGCGGGTCACAAAGAATATTTCCAACAGCCAGTTGCAGAACTTTATCAACAACTGTCTTCGCTCTATACTGAAGATCAATCAGGTGGCCGGAAAGAATCACCAACAAGAAACTATGGGAACAAACAAACAAAACAAGAACCAATCGCCCAACGAATATGCAGGAGAAAGTGGAGATGGATTGGACACTCGCTGAGGAGGCCGTTGGGTGACATCGCGCGTCAGGCCAGTGCTCGAGTGGAACCCGAAAGGGAAGTGGTGAGTGGGACGTCCAAGGGCGACATGGAGGAGATCGTGTGATGAGGAACTCAAACAGTATGGATTAACATGGATGCGAGTGAAAAGTACAGCAGAAGAGAGAAGCAAGTGGAGGTGTGCAGTTGAAGCCCTATGTTCCACTAGGAACCCAAGGGAACAATAATAATAATAATAATAATAAAAGCGTATAACAGTCTATTATTGAGTAATGAGGGGGATAGTGATACAGTCGATACAAATACTCAGGAGTGGTTTCTAAAGATTAAAAGAAATAACGTAATAGTCAGTGACACAAGTGAAGTAAGGGTTTAAAATTTTATAAGGTGAAACCGTTATTCTATGCGAAGTAAATTGGGTGAATGTCCACCTGACAAAGTGTGGGAAAGGGGAGAGAGAAGTCTGTAAAGAAATAATTAAGAGTAATAATAGTGAATCACTTACTAAAACTAAAAGCAAACAAGTAGGAAATAAACTTTATTTGGACACTAGGTAGTCACTAATGTCATGTGTCTAGTCCAGTCTTTCGTTTGGTGCATATTGAATTCCCTCAGTCAGTGCTGTGATGTCATCAACATGCTAGGTGGCTTACCGTTACAGTGCACTCTGAATTATTTTTTGATAGTTGAGGCAATCGACAGGAAGCCTTGGACCTATAATTCCGAATCTCAGTATCGATTACAGTCCTATAGAAAGTCAGTAGCTAGCCGGAATAGCTCAACCGTAACATCTTTGACAGCAGCACTTGGTGATATGGGTTCGAATCTCAGAAAGGACATGGGTTCCTCCAAGATTGTAGACACATCTTCATGATGAATGCCGACAAGCACTAAACCCGGATCCAAGGTTTCTTGCCAATGGCTTCTGACTGCCTGTCAAGTAAGAAAGAGTTAAGCCCCATGGTGGAATCAGAGACTTAGTAAGACTTTCCCGCATACACAGTTTAGAGTTATGTTAATGAATAGTTGGCGACTCTGCCTTACACAACTGTTAAATCACAGCACCATTTCGCCTTACTCTGAAGATAATGTTAAAGGAAAACTCCGATGAGGCTGCATGACCTGAGTTCACCAAGTGCTCGAGAACTGTTCTACATTATCCTCTTGATAACCAAGCTGGATTTCATCCAGAGATACATATGAGAGGTGTGTACTTTATAAGGCCAACGTACCTAGATCCACAGGACTTAGTGAATTTAAAAACACACTGAAGTGGATCAGACAGGCAGCTTATCACTCATACATCCACTGATCATTTGCCGATTGTAGGAATTAATCCGTAGCGCAGTCGGAAGGAATGCTTTGCTCAGCGATCTAGATAAGCGGTTCTCCGGAATCTCAGCTGTGGGATGACCTTTATATGTAGTGCATGTCTTACTCTCCCACTATCTTGACGGACACCTTATTCAATAACTGCTCTTCCCCTATCCCATTCCGTCCATAAGTTATGTATAAATTCAGCCTAAATCACTTACAGAATCATGATATACCTTTACACAGTCTAAAAAAGTACTATTTAGTGGTTACTGAAATACTAAAGTCACCATCACGTCTCTTTGAAAAAATCCTGCTATAAATCCATGCATTACGCTGGGAAATTGCATCTAT